TTATCTTTGCTAAAGTCCCAGATAATACTCAAAGGCTGTGCTTATGGAGAAAAATCACCACACGATCAATTTCAATTTCCACAGTCTCAGCAGGGGCCCTGTTTAGGGATGTTATCTATGATGGAGAGTGAAGTATTAAAGGTATGACACACAGGGTGCATTTCAGCAAAGGCACTGTAGCACTAGTTGATGTGTGATTGGTTGAGTGTTACTAAGAACAAAGAGAAGAAGAGTGATGGAAAGATGTGGAACTGACTGGAATACTAGATGAATCTGACTCTAGTGGAGTTTCTCCTAACAGGGGGCTGATGGCAGAAGCTGAGTGGTTTCACTTCAGGAGTATAGAAATGTTTTTAAAATCTGTTTACCCCATATTATAAAAGACAAACTTGTTTATTATAAAAATGTAAAAAATGCAGGCAAACTAAAAGAAAAAATTAAAAAATCCCCCACCATCTTGCTTCCCAGAGAGAATCACTCTAAACAGGTTGGCTAACTTCCTTTATTTTTCCTATGCTTACACACACATTTTTACAAAAATTATATTTATTATTGTGAAAACTACTTTTAACTACTTTCCCTTTCATCACTCTATGTCAGGATAACAATATCCTTTTGTTATTTGTTTTTTAATTCAAAACCAATAGATGCTTTTGTTAAAAATTTCTGAGTATAAGGTAAAATGTAAAGATGGTTCTCCTCATCTCCTCTCTCCCAATCTCACTCCCCTGAGGTAACCCTAAGACTTTTTTCTTAGTATTTCTCTCCTCAGAAACTTTCTGCCACACACACACACACACACACACACACACACACACAAGAATAGTATTCAGTCAATATATCACAAGATACTCAATGAAATCCTGTTATGTGGAAATTCAGGGTTTTTCCAGTTTTCAATGCAATGAGCATCTTTGTGGTTAAGTCTTTGCACACAACCATGATGATTTTGTTAAAATAAATTCTAGAAAGCAGATTGCTACATTGAAGGATAGGCATGATTTTAACGATTTAGATATACGCAGCCCATTGCCCTTCACGTGTTTGTGACAATCTGACATTCTAATCAATTAGCAACATGAAATTTTTGAAATTTTTCTTATTTTCTAACACTGGCGTATTTTAGACTTTTAATAACACACATACAGAGGAGTGGACAAGCCATGAGTTGGACCTGCACTGTTCAATATGGTAGCCGCTAATCACATGTGGCTACTGAGCACTTGAAATGCGGCTAGTCTGAATTGAAGTATGCTACAAGTGTAAAAGACACACACAATTTCAAAGAGTTGGTACCAAAAAATAATGTGAAATGCCTCATTAATAATTTTATGTTAATCATATATTGAAATGATATTTTGAACATGTTAATAAGTAAGATATATTATTAAAATTAATTTTACTTATTTCTTCTCACTTTTTTAAATGTGGCTACCAGGAAAGTTTTCATCACATATGTGCTCACGTTATATTTCTCTTGAACAGCATGGAGTAGGACATGGTCTGGCTCCTGATAAAATAAAACCTACCACCTGAGCTGTATACTCCGGTTTGCTCTCTTCCTCTGCCTCTTCTCCCACTCCCCAAAGCTGCCTGTGCCTCAGTTCCACCCTGGGCTTTTAGAACTAATGTAGCACTTTTCACCGCTCCAATTCTTTGCCAGGAATGATCAATAAACTCGATAAAGGTGAGTGTCCACTTTTGAAGGTAATGGGGTTATGCATTGAGACTGTGATCTCCCAGAACCGTTAGGTATAAACTCTGAGTCGCAAATGAAATCATTTGTCAACTGATTTGTTAGAAGATGTATGTATTTAGGCTTCAGAAATTGCTGCTGAGTTTAATATCATGCCCCTACCAAACTGTGCACACGGCGCACAGAACATAGAGAATCCACATACTTAAGAGGGTCAGTTCATTGATAGAAGTTTGCCATCTCTCTATGCCTTGATTTTGTTTTTTCTTTCCTGTGAGGCGAGGATGATGGAGCAGTGCACAGAGTCCCAGACAAGAGGAGTCAGCACTTTGGGGACACTGGGGGGAAAAGAGATTAGCAGGAGATTGCTGGGGCTATTCCCTCTCACTCCCCACCTCCTGAAGTTTGCTCAGCCACCTCACCCTCCTCGTCAGCCCTCCACTCGCCCTTGCACACATATTGACTGTACCAAACACACCCTAGGTACACACAGCTTTTCATCAAAGACGTATGCCGTTCCTGGTTGGCTCCCACTCCCAATCACGCCAGGATAGATGCAAAATCAGATAAGTAGGAAGGAAAAGGCCCTTGCATAAGCATGTGAATCTTGCTCCCTTCTCCCTGTTGTTGGTTTGCCTATCGTTCTTTGAGTCACTTTTTCATTGGAATCAGCTTTCGCATTAAAAATAAAAACAAAGGGGCAGTCCCGGTGGCGCAGTGGTTTGGCGCCGCCTGCATCCTGGGCTGTGATCCTGGAGACCCGGGATCGAGTCCCGCATCGGGCTCCCTGCATGGAGCCTGCTTCTCCCTCTGCCTGTGTCTCCGCCTCTCTCTCTGTGTCTATGAATAAATAAATAAAATCATAAAATCATAAAATCATAAATAAATAAATAAATAAATCTATAACAGAAGATTTTGAAAAAATACATCTTAAAGTATTGGGGGTTCAATTACTTGCTTGACCAATTGGGAAGTGACCCAAACCCTCACTTCATCTCACTGTTGTAGTATAAGTGGCTTCTGTTGGGAAGGTATCCAGGTAAGAAGGATTAAAGCAAACAAACATCTTTGTTCCAACCTGTCTTCATTGTCCTACTTTTGTGGTGATTCTGTTATGCTGAACTGTGTGAGAACAATGTTTCCAGTCCCTTGGAACTCTCTACTTAGGGTCCTTAAAAAATTGCATTGTGATAAAGAACCAATATAACCATTTAACAAGGAAAATGAGAGTTTTCTGTAAAGGACCTCCCTCTAAATTTGGAGAAGGAGGGAAATACTTTGTTAAGAAGAGAGTGAACTAGGAACTCAAGGAACATCGTTTTTTTTTTTTTTTTTTTTTTTTTTTTTCCATTACTGTTTTGACCAACCCAGCAAACTTGAGTAAGTCTTGTAAGACTTCATTTTGCCTTCTGTGAACTGGGCACAGAGTATCCGCCTTCCTTGCTGTGTTCATGTGGGCATGGCAATAAACGAATGCAAAAGGAATAAATTATTCCTTGGGCTGTAGTGGTCTTTGACTGATGTTTGAAATTCCTTTCTAATTCCAGATTCTGTGATTATGACTAATAAATACTTCCATTCTTTCCAACCCACCATGTTTAAATACTCTAGTAAAATCTAAAGCCTTCTTTCTTATCTCTGTAAGCCAGGATATAATTTTTGCCTTGCACAGACTACCAAGAACCTCTTTTTTCCTTTGATATTCAAAGCTGAACATGTAACTCATGAGGTCTGTCTACCTCCCTTCTGTCTGTCCTATTACCCGAGGGAGAAGCAGATTGAGAAGTTTTCAGGGTGCTATTGGATCAACAGGGTTGAGGAGCCTTCTAGCAGCATTGGATGAGCTCAAGAAACCAAAAACTCAACGAACCTCCTTTTGATTAAAGAAACTGTTAGGGGACACCTGGGTGGCTCAGTAGTTAAGCGTCTGCCTTTGGCTCAGTTTGTGATCCTGGAGTCCCAGGATCGAGTCCCACCTCGGACTCCCCACAGGGAGCCTGCTTCTTCCTCTGCCTGTGTCTCTGCCTCTCTCTGTGTCTCTCATGAATAAATAAGTAAAACCTAAAAAAAAAAAAAAAAAAGGAAACTTAGAATTTTGAGAATAAAACCATTCCCTTTCTTCTCATCAGCAGGATGAAGCCAATATCTGTGAAATGGCAGATTTGCTAGTGAAAATATGACTAAGTTCTGAGTAGTATAGGATAAAACACTATGACCTTTTGATTTAAAAGGGCTTACCTACTATATATATTTATTTTTATTTTCAGATTATTTTTCCTATCAAAAGCCCTACTTCCCAGTGTGATTTGCCTGCTCAAAGCTTTGAAAGCAGTATCAGAGAAAAATGTACCTGAGTATAAACTACAAGTCTCGAGATCTCACTGGCCCGAGACTGTAGATGAGGTCTCCTTAACAATACCCTCCTCAATGCCATTGGCTCTTGTCCTGGATAGCTCACCCAGGACCTCCAGTCTCTTGACACCTTCCTTCAGTCTCCCATCATGAGAGGGTCCTAGGATGGGTTCCCCTCCCCCACCGTATACCCAAGTCCCACCCTCCCTGTGGGTTTGGCAGAATCTGCTAGACAATGCTTCTCCTTCCTTGGCCACCAGAGTCTCTCTTGGGATTCCAGTAAGTACTGCCTGTCCCTTAGGCACTTCTGCTTCTACAGCCAGGCCAAGTACCTCAGACTCCTTGGGGAGCCAAAGCCACCCCACCTCCCTTCCTGTGACACACTGCTGGAGCAGTCCTCAAACAGTATCATTTGTGTCTTGGTATTTTGCAGAGATTTGGTGAAGTAGCTCATAGGGTTTTTACTTACTGGCTTCCTGCTCTCTGTAAGTCGGACAGGAAGGCCATGGAAGCATGAGAGAGAGAGATTGGAGCGATTCGGGCCAAGCCCCAACCTTCTTTCATACTGGAGGTAGCCCCTTCTCTCTGACAACCACTACTTCATCTTGAGACTGGATCTGTCTTTTCTAAACATGAGTGATCTCCCGGGAGACTTCAGTAGCCTCCACCAGAGCTTTCAGGTTTCCCCTCTCATTCACTCAACAAGCCCAAACCTGCAGAAGGCACATCCCAAAGATCCCTACAAAGTAAGGATTTCCTCTTGTTTTCATGGCAACCACTCCAAACCAACCCCAAGGATTGAACTTGAGAGATTGTGGGTTGATTGTGGGAGCAAAGCGGAAGTCAGTGGTGAGGATGGGGGATGGATGTGGTATAGAGGGAGGCTGAGAAGCTTTCAAGAAGGCACCAGGGTGCTTTGTCTCTTTACTTACGGTCTGGGTTCTCTCTGCAGAATGACATTTTCGAGTGGGCCAGGGACCACCGAGTCCACCACAAGTACTCAGAGACTGACGCTGACCCTCACAATGCCCGCCGGGGCTTCTTCTTCTCCCATATCGGGTGGCTGTTTGTTCGCAAACATCGAGATGTCATCGAGAAGGGGAGAAAGCTTGACGTCACTGACCTGCTGGCTGATCCTGTGGTCCGATTCCAGAGAAAGTAAGTGAACAGACACCATAAAGTTGTCCTTTGGGGGACAGGACCAAGAGACAGAGCACAATGGGGTGCAGTAATACCCAAGTAGTTTTCCTCATACCATTTACCTTTCTTGTTAGGATTTACCTCTGTTTATTCATTTCTTTTTTGCTTAAGTCCTCCCTGTTTACACATTTGTTTTTCATTTTAATTTTAAATCGAAATGGATTTCCTTTAAGCCCAATGTCATTTCCTTCAGACCAATCCCCATGACTGAGTTCACGGAATCTGTTTCTGTAGTTCCTCATCCCCCTACCCCCCTCCATTCGTGTTTCCCAGCGGAGAGGGGTGGGGGGAAGACTTGCTTTATTTCAGTGAAACTCCAACAGCATTGGGCTCTCTCTAGGGATCCTGCTTTGTCCTGCTGGAATTCTCTTGTAGTGAGGGCTCCCTCCCCCTGACTCCTGGAAATATTATACCAGTAGGTTTCTGTGTAACAGAGAGCCTCAAAGTGCTTTTGTGTACTAATGGTGTCAGCTGAGCATATTCAGTCGGTCAGCGTTTGTAGGGTAAATCTACTTTCATTAGGCACATGGAGAAAATTGCCTGTAATTGTGCTGGCAAATAGGGAGTGGCTACTTTTCACCTTTTATCCAGGAAGCTGGCATAGAATGTATCCATGTTGGCCTGGATCTGCACCGTGGACCAGTATATGAGCATTTATAAATGGGCTTTTGCCCTAAAGTAATGGATGTATGTGCAAAGACAGACAATTTATGGATTGCGCTCTGGTTAGAGCCTGGAGATAACATGGTGAAACTGTGGTTACCAGAGACCATCTCCACTGACAAGCAGGAGTCATTGAGGACTTATCCCAATAGAAACTCCTGAGAATAGAAATGGAGGCTGTACCTTTGTCTGACACAAGTGATTCTCGTAAGAAAGGAAGTATGACTTAGAATTGTGCTTGCTTTCCTTTCAGTCTCTCTCTTTACATTGGAGTAGGCAACAGCTCGTAGTGATAAAGTGGCTGATGGCGGAGACAGACTGCCTAGGATCAAACTCCGTGGCTCCTCCATGTGCAAGCAAAAGATCTGACCTCCCTTAACCACTATCTCCTACAGGTCTTATGAGGACATAATAAAGCAAAATGTATGGGAAATGGCCTGGCACATAGTTAAGAGCTTAGATCAGTGAAAATTATTATTATTTTTTAATTTTTATTTATTTATGATAGAAAGAGAGAGAGAGGCAGAGACACAGGCAGAGGGAGAAGCAGGCTCCATGCACCGGGAGCCCAACGTGGGATTCGATCCCGGGTCTCCAGGATCGCGCCCTGGGCTGAAGGCAGGCGCCAAACCACTGCGCCACCCAGGGATCCCAAAATTATTATTTTTATACAAGCCAGAGGATTCAGTATGTTTCCATCCCCTCCTTCTGTTGGTTTCCCCTGAGGGTCTTTGAGCGTCTCAACACGGCTCTTTCAGGTGGACACACCAGTAGTTTTATAGCAGAAAATAACAAGATGTTTTCAATTGACAACTAAATGATTTGTTCATTTTGATTTTTCACCACGGGCATAAAATATTAAAAGTCATTAAAGAACACTTGCAAAATTCATAAAAGTAGGAAGAAAATAGTTCAGTCCTAACACACAAACACAGCCTTCATTAATAATCTATAATGTATCTTCCCATTTCTTATCCATCCATATATTTGATATATTTTGCATGATGGCAGTCATACTGCATATGTAATTTTATGTCTTGCCTTTTAACTTGTGATTATCTTGGAGGCACCATTGTTGAAGGCTGTGTGAGTTCACTAGTTGAGTGTCACAGCTTATTTAACCATCACTCTGCGACTGAATATGTATGTCATTTCCAATTCTGTGATATAAATGATGTTGCTATATAATTAGCAATGCTTTGGGACAATTAGGCCTTAGATTAATTTGAAGAGTTCAGAAGAGAAGGCAAGGGATCTTCTATTAATGAGAAGTGAGCTGAGTATAATAATCTGGGTTTCTCTCATCATAAAATGGAAGACTTTTATTTTTTTCATTTTTTCCTTGGGAAAAAAAAAAGTAATCTGATTCATTAGGTGTGTACTCATGGTACATATGTCCAAAGACTATTTCTAATTGTAGGCAGAAGAACAAAGACTATTTCAGCATGTTCCCTGAATAGTTATCTGAAAACATCTTTCATCACAGGCCCAGTGACCAAAAGGGACTGTAGCTATCAGAAACCATCCACTCATATCATCATTTCATATATATCATTGAGCTTCTGCTAAGAATTGGTGCTAAGGATACAACCTTAAAGTTTGGTGTCTCTACCCCCCAAACTTGCAGACCAGCAGGGAACCCACAGATAAATTTACAAACAATTATACTCTACTGAAAGTAGTGCTATAATAGGGTAGTACAGGGTGCCATGGGAAGACAATGCAGAATGGTGAGGGTGGAGGAAGACCTATGGAAGGAACTAACTTCTAAGCCAAGACCTGGAAGATGACAAGAAGATGAAGATAGGGAAACGACATTTAAAATATCTGTTAATACATGGAACTACATAGAGCCATTGAACTTTAGGGAATGACCTTGTGAATCATTCAGCTCATGCCTTCCATTTTTCCTCTGGGAAAATGAATAAACAAAATGTAGATAGAAAGTTAGAGATAGTAGTACTGTCTTGGTCTTCTGGGACTGCTGTAACGAAAATACCATAGTCTAGGTAGCATAGAAACCAACATTTGCTTCTCACAGTTTTGGAGGCTGGTAAGTCCAAGATCTAGGTGCCACAGATCTAGTGTCTGGTGAGAGCTCTCTTCCTAGGTCATAAAGAGCCATCTTCTTGCTATTTCTACACATGGCAGAAGAGGAAGAAGCTCTCTGGGGTCTCTTTTGTAAGGACACTAATCCCATTTGTGAGGCCTCCACCCTCATAGCCTAATCACCTTCCAAAGGCCCCTCCTTCAAATACCATTGCATTGGGGATTAGGTTTCAACATAGGAATTTGGGGGGACCCGAACATTTACTCTGTGGTGACCACCTACATCTTAAATCATTTGCTCAATATTCTTTTGATTATACCTTGCTGTTTGAAAGGGGTTACAATGGTCTAAAGTATGAGTGAGTACTCATTTTCTTTGGTAATTATCCAGCCTGGAGAACATAGAGATCCATAATCTAAAATACAGCTTAGAATCACTGCAGGGATCACTAAAGGAGAGAGCTTCCAGAATACATGGATATAGTGCAACGGTTTGCATATTTCTACGTCCGTGAAACCACCTTTACTGGTCCTCTGCTGGTCAGGCCATGTGGAGGCCACAGATTCCTTAAAGATTGAGTCTTTGCACTTGGGGTGTGAGTTGGAGTGAGGGTGGACCCTCTCATCCGCAACACTGCCACATGAGGTCTCAGCCTTGCTACCCACCCTCAGCTGAGTGGAGGACTCCCTCCCTGAGCAACAGGCCCAGTCTTGGGTCACTTTGGTGGCACACCTTACAGAGTTCATCTCCTGGTCACAATCTCTACCTGTTCCTCTGGGGTTCTCTGAGTGCACCAAGCCCTGTCCCAATTTTGGTGCCCTGGGTTTGCAGCTTATTCACTAATTTTAGTCCTGAGCCAGTACAAATGTTGCAGTTGGCTCATAAACTTGAACTTAACCAGCCTCATGACAACTTACCAAGAAAAATTCACTAGGGATACCTGGGTGACTCAGTTGATGTCTGACTCTTGAGCTCAGGGTCATGAGTTCAAGCCCCATGTTGGGCTCCATGCTGGGTATGGAGACTATTTAAAAAAAAAATTTTTTTTTATTTATTTATGATAGTCACACAAGAGAGAGAGAGAGAGAGAGGCAGAGACATAGGCAGAGGGAGAAGCAGGCTCCATGCACCGGGAGCCCGACGTGGGACTCGATCCCGGGTCTCCAGGATCGCGCCCTGGGCCAAAGGCAGGCGCCAAACCGCTGCGCCACCCAGGGATCCCAGGAGACTACTTAAAAAAAAAAAAAAAAAAGGCTTGCCAGAGAGCCAGGCTCAATCAGCTTTCCTTTATACGGTGTAATAAAAGAGAAAAGATGGTGGCATTAAAGATAACAGGAAAAGAACACAATTGAAGCTATAGTTCTAGACTTTTCCTCTAAAAGATAATTTTACCAAGGCTATAATAACAAATAGTTAACTGGACTACTTCAGCTTTCACTCTACTGTCAAGCTGTGAATGACAAGAAGACAGGCAATAGGAGGTGAGAGGGAGAGAAGCTAATTGGATCACATTTAGACTTTGGCAACTGAGCCCTGCCCTAGGTCATGTTCCTACAAGGACTGTGCTTTTCCCCATGGGATAAGGAGATCACAGGGCAAAAAGGCACATATCACCTGGAATCTTCTCCCACTTGTAGACCATGCCTTGGGGTCCTAGGAACCTGGAATTCCCTGTCCAAATGGCTCTGAGCCTACACAAGTCTCCCCAGGGCTCTGTCCTCCTGGTGGGAAGTGTGTGTACCCTAGTCCTGAAGAGTGGCCAAGATGCAATGTTAGCCTGAGGATGGGCTTAGATGCATGAGCTTGGGTGTCCACAGAAAGAGGGCAGAGCTAGGGGTGGAGAGAAAAACAGACCACAGGCTTAGGCCCTCTACCTCTGCTCTTGGTCTGAGCCCTCCGAATGTTGGGCTGAGCCTAGAAGGAGGCCGCTCATAAGGTTGGCAGTGGTCTGTTGGTTAGGAGTTGTGTTTGTCTGTGTGAGCAGAATAGAAGTTTATTTCCCTTATATAAAAAAGAATCATGAAGGCCCAGGTTATGGCAGCATCACAGGGTCAGTTGAGAACCAGATTCTTTATCTTCTGCTCCATCAACCTTAGCATATGACTTTCATCCTTCCATTTTAAGGTCCAAGATGATCATTAGCTCCAACCAGAAGGAAAATGGGGGTGCAGGTAGGGGGTAACTGCTCACTTGAGTCAGTCATCTTTAAAGAGCTTTTCTGGGAGACACACACAGCTTATCCACA